AATGTGTTTGTATAAAGCGAGAAAAATTGTATATATACATATATTTTCGTTTCCCTCTCCCAAATCTCGCTCGCCACTCTCCCAGATCTCGTTCACTACCATTACCTCTTTGTTCGTATAAACAAAAAAGAAATGTGTAAATTATGTTTCTGTTTTTATAAATCGAGAGAAAATTGTATATACACTTGCAAATATATATATCTCCGTCCTATACACTTATAATTATATAATACAAATATTCCTCTGCCCAGTTTTCTTTTGTTTTTGTCTCTTTCTCGTTTTATACATACACAAATTATATAATTGATTTGTGTACAACTGCTTTCTTTTGTATCTGTATAGCAAATTATACAATTGGTTTCTTTCGATATGTATAGTAAATTATACATATTTATGTTTTTTATTGAGCGCAATTATGTAAATTTAATTTTATAGCATACAAATATAAATTTTGTGTTTACTATATGTGAAATTTACTCTTTTTTAAATATCATGTAAAATAAAAAATAATCAACTAATATAAGACGGAGAGAATAACATCTTAGGGCCTTATAATCTAGAACCATGCATAATGAAAGTTTTAGTACATCATACAATTTTTTAGTAGCTATTTAAATAGACTATTTCCTCCGTCAAAAAATAGTTATTTATTATATAATTTTGAAATATTTAATAATATTCGTACACTTTGTAAAATCAATAAATAATTTTATATTTACTTTTCTGTCATTAAGTATACTCTTTTTTTATTATACTTTTCAAGTTGTTATATTATAATATTTAAAAAATAATTTAATAAAATTATCCTTATATTCATAATATTTTAAGAAACATGCAAATTTATAATTTCTTAAGCACCATATGAAATTAATTTTGTGTAATGTCATTGGATAAGGAAATAACATTTGATCCCATCGATTGAGCATTTAAATTTCCAAAATTTATAGCCTTTCAGGAAAGATAATATTCCCTCCTTTTCATATTGATTCTATCATTTTTTATTTGCATGGCACAATTGAGAAATCATAAAAAAGAAAAGACAATCTTATTTACTAATTCACCGTTTAATTAATTTTTTGAAATTTTACAAAGAAAAATAAACACTTCAAAAAAATAATAATTGCAAAGCTAATACAAAAAAATTAAATTAATATTTTTTTAATTTAATAAATTAAACAACTAATATAAGACAACAATCTTCAATATAATATTAAATTAGTATAAAATAATTATTTTTAATATAATAATATAAATCGATGGAGTAATTAATGAGTATGAATAAGATATTCGAAAAGTCTTGCTTGGTACGCTCTCGTACTTCCAACTTCAAATTGATCCGGTATACACGAATCCACATGATTAGGTCAGAGAGATTTTGTTTGGACTAGTCAGGAGTATATATGTACGTACAACTTGATCCTTTAATTTTGTTGAAATTCTTTTTATCAATTGGAATATATTTTTGTTTAAGAGGAATATTGAAAAAGATTCTTCTAGCTAGTTACTATTGAGTTTTAAATTTCCCAATTAATTTATTTTGATTATTTGATAGAAAATTTAGTAAAGTATAAAGGATTTTGAAATTAATAAAAAATAACAATTTTAAATTTTAAAACATATCGTGTATACTCAAATATTTTTTCATTTTATAATTTTAACTTATCAAGTGAAGATATATTTATATAAGAAATGGTATATATTCCATATATAATTAAAATACACATGCATCCACTAACCGAGGAAAAGGAAAAGGAAAAAGGAAAAGGGTATCATATGCACCTCAAAAGCTGCTTGTTTTTGCAGGATGAAAAGCTTATGTCACAGCAATATATTGGTCGAAAAAAATAAAATAATATATATATATATATATATATATATATATATATATAATA